TTCAGTTAGATCTGTGCCACCAATGGTGACATCCTCTGAGCCAGCTGAAGATTTTTGTTCTAAGAAAAAACTAATTAAAACTTCCAGGGACCATGCCACACTTCAGCCCCACCGAGAACTTTAAAGACACTGCAACCATGTGTCGGCCAAATAAAGAGAAAAGCAGTTCCTAAAGACGAATGTCTCTGTCCTGGGAAAGTCTGTCTTTGAGGAAGAACAAAAGAATATTGTAATTTAAAACAGTTTTTGAGGATGTGTCTTCTTTGTGGGCAACTAATTACTTCACGGTGCTTTTATTTTCTACCAATTTACAGTATATGGCTACCTTAAAATTTCTTTCAAATGTGTTGGGTCTTCGACCTAAGAGCTAACCAGTGGAATTCAGACTGTTTAAGTTGAGGGAGAGAAAGCCACCAGTGCTCAGTGAAGAGACCTTTCTTTCTTTTATCTGTATATGCAGGGTTTGCCTCCAGCCCCCCCCCCCCAAGTACTCGCATTTACATTCAGCATACCAAAAGGGACAATACAGAAGCCACTTTCTTACATCCACTGGCAGATTGTTTTCTCTGAAACATGAAAGGTAGAAAGTAAGTGGAGGGGGGAGGGGGAGGAAGAATTTGCAAACATTTCTTTTTAAAATAACGCTCAAAAACTTAACCTGTTTAAAAATGCGTGCTCCCAAAATGGGTGCCAATTAATTCCACCTTAAAGAGAGCTGATTGTGAGACAAGAGTTAGGGAATTTTAGAAGAGTATTCTGAACTTTTCAAAGCCTATGCCTAATCCACGTTTTTCAGATGTGTTCAGACGGAGGGAAAGGTATGGAGGGAGAAGCAGCAGGAATTACTTAGCAAGCTGATTATTTCTTTGTATCCAGAATGGTGGTTGAAAACAAACAAAAGTGGGTCAGATTTCATTTTCAGTCTTACTGTCCATCTCCTGGTGGCCTTGAGAGCATTTTCTTTGGGGATGGGGAATGCAACAAACAGAGCTAAGATTTCGGTTCTGTGAAGTAGCCATCAGTTGGAATTTAGCATCCGTATGTGTAAGTATTGGCACAAGGTCTTGTGTAAGTAAATTAAAAAATCTTTTAAGCTGCTAATGCGATTTCTCACCATCTTTTAATACAGCAACCTAGTTTGGAGTGTTGTTTTTTAAAAATAATATGATAGAACAGAAGAGTTTCTCTTTTTTCTCTTTTTCTTTACTGTTTTATTGGCTTTTCTTTTTCTGCATTATTTCTTGACTAGTTGCCAGTATGAGAAAGAGCAGTGAATCTTAGACAATATCAAGAGGATGTGAGCAGTTCTCCTGTTGGCAGGGCCCTTCTGTAATTAGTGTGTGTTAGGTTGCTGCATATTTCATAGACAACCTATGTGGAAACCAAATTTTGGCAATTGTTTTAATTAAACTGTCATTAAGGTATCTTGGGTTTTTTCTCTTGTGATTTCAATACAGTTATGATTTAAGATGTGCTTCGTTGTGTGGCTGCCAAACAAACAAGGCAAGTCATGCTCCAGAAAGTGAAAAATACCGTTTTTTAACAAAATAATGGAATGACCTTTATGCTCGTGACCAAGATTGATTTGTTTCTTAATTAAAGGAAAGGGGTTCTGGCCACCACAGGGAGGTATCCACCCATGTGTTTCCCCTCTGAGGGTGGACCTTTTCTCTCACCTCTAGCCTAGTTGGGTGAGCTCTAGGAGGCTCCGTCCCCTTTGCATTCTTTGCAAGCATAGTGACCTCATAGTAAGGCATGGAACCGTCTCCAAGTGTGAGGCCCTCGGAAAGGTGGGTAGCAGAATGCTGGCCAGCTTGCGCACTCTCCCTGAAGGTGAGTCTTTAGGAGTGCTGTGGCAAGCCTCGCTGACTTAACCTTTGCCTGCTTTGCCCTGCCAGAGGCGTCCACTAGATGTCAAGCTCATAATACAATTAGTGCATCTGGGCTGCTGACCTTGGCGACAGGGCGCACCACCGGCCTTCTAAGTGTAAACCCGGAGTCCGAGCGTTAACTAGGGATCCCATGAGTTTGTTCCGGGCAGTACACGCCTATCAAATGCCATCCAGTGCAGCACAAGTGTTTATAGCTCTTGGAAGAAGAGAAACTGGCTTGCTTTTGTGTAGCCATTACATCTTGAACGGTTTAATTAACCCTGCAGGTGCCAGGCCACTTTGTCCTCATTCCTCAGCATTGCGGGTCCTCAGAGCGGCCTCAGACGGAGCTGTTTGATAATAGTCCTGTGTAATTTGTACACATGGAGAGTCCCTGGCACCATGGGGTGGGTGGTGGCTTTTCTAGTATGACTTTCTGCTTGTATGCAAATTTCTCCCATAGAAATGAAACCGTACGGTGAGGTAATGACCGGCGGTGGAAACGACTTACTCGCCAGCCCAGGTGCCTGAAGCCTAGTGCCTACAGGTGATCTCAGCCTCTTCCCTAGTTGCGGTGTGACTAGAGCTATTTCAATGTAGGCATTTCTGTACCAAACCCACTTTGCTTGCTCACTAAATCTCTTCCCCCCACCCTCCCCGGAAGAGTTCGTACGCGCTCTGATAGTGGATTTCCCTCGAATGGACACTTTCTAGGAGGCATGTCATAAAATAATGTGGAGTTCTTTTCTTCAAATTGTGGAGATCTCTGTATTTGAACCACCCTCATCAAATTCTGATCAGAATTTCTGGCTTCTGCTGACATGTCTCAGGTCTGTGGTTTTTGTGAAGCACAAATCGTGATGTGAGCTTGAGTCTAGCGTGACAGCTGGATGAAAGGCCGATTGTGCAAGCCTTGCAGCGCAACAAACATCTTTCTATCAAAGTGACTGTGTGTGCCCTGCCACCTCAACTTTGTGTCCCATAAAGGGACAGTGTCTCTGTCCCTGGAGCCTCACCGCACAGATCAAAACTGAACCAGCTTAAACAGAAGATGCCCGGGGCCTGTGCCACAGGTGGTTGTGACTTAACAAATTTGTGATGTGGGCCACTGACTAGGAGGGAGCCTGTGGGTCAGTGCCTCGCTGAGCATAGCAAGACTGCCCTCCACCGTTCAACTCTGTGAGCACAGGCTGCCAGGTCTGGGGTAAAAGGACAGAAATTTTTCTTTTGCGCCTGGAATTTCTTCTACATTGTTAAACACAGTGGGGGTCTCTATTTGTCTCCTCCTGTGACACAGCTTGGGCTCAGTGTGGCGATAATTCATCTTTCTTTATGGGATTCAAAGCTATCATAAGGAGTTAAAAAGAATTAATTTGCAAGAAAATAAGTGTCTCCAAAGAGTTTGAGAAAACTTGAGAAATGCTTGCTACATTTTTAAGAGATGGAAAGACAAAGGGAAAAGTGGGGTTTTCTCTCCGGAAGACCCACCTGGCATTTTAAAGTTACTAGTTAAAGAGGGGAAGTTTAACATGCCTCTCTCAACACTAAACAAGCCTGCCTTCTCCCTTTGTTAATTGTAATGAATTAAAACTATGTAATGAAAGTGTAGCAAAATAAAGGGAACCCGAAGTCAGCAAGTTTGCTACTGCTTTTTAATGGGTAAAATTCTTTACACTTTTGAAAAGAGAAAGCAAAAATAAGCCCTGCTAAGAACTATGCATAAATATTTGTATAGAGAAACACGGAGTCTCAAATATCTTTATACATTGCAATGTTTTTCACTTGTGCCTCGAAAAAGATCGTGTTCTAGGAGAGAGAACGCGTGGTGTCATTTTTCAAAACTAACCAGGAGTGAAAGCTGAGAGAGTCGGAGGCTGTGGTAGGTGAGAATGTGCTAACAATCGGCAGACTTTTATTAAACATGCTATTTCATCAGTGAGCACAAAAACGCGTGTGCTTTTAAAATGAGTGCCCTGAAGCTGGCTGCCTTGTGGGTTTTTTTGTTATTGTTGTTGTTGTTGTTGTTTTTTTTTTTTTTTTTTTTTTTTTTTTT